GTTGGTAAATGGTAATGACCCGGTAACACCTTAGAATTTTTTTCGGCGCTTCCCAGGGAAAAAATCTTTCCCAACAAGGTGAGTTTCAAGAGGAAGTGCTGGGCCGCAACGGATTTTTGGGACAAGTTACTTAAGTAGAAACGCATGCCTCTAAATTTTATCGCCTCATCATTAAACAATTGATTTCAAACTATGGGGATAAACACCGTGAGGTGATCGCTTAGAGATCAGCAGTTTACAATCAGATCAGACGTAATGCTATTGAACCATCATGAGACAGTAACTGAACGCTTAATTGAAGTATGCAGCTGAGGATGTCTTAGGACTACTTGCAAAGATTGTAGTAAAAGTCTCGCAAATTTGTTGCCGAGGAGTCGAGCGCAGTACAAGTAAGACTTGGGGACATTTGTAACTGGAGAAACGATATAAAGCAGAAAGATATCAAAAGCACGCGGAATTGGATTTGTATACAGTAGGACTCCATGAAAAATCACCTTGTGCCTTCAAATTTTTCAAATTTCGATTTGCACCCTAGTCGATAAAAGGACTAAAGATAAACAGCATTAGATAGGAGCACTGATACCTCGTCGTTTTTGTTCTTTTCTCATAAAGGTTGGTTTCATTCGTGACAAATGTTAATACAGTTGACCCTACATGTAAGGCGATTACGCCTCCCATCTCGTTGAGGCTTTTCCTCAGAATCGCTGTGAATCTCTAAGAATCCACTCTTTGCAAACGGTGTTGATGATAACTCGTTTGTAACAGTATCTTGTACCTTTTTCCAAGGAGGCTCCGGTCTTGCTTGATGAGCTGCCTTAGCGCTGTACATACATAATTGGAAGCCGTCTGTGTGACATGTTTTGCTTTCATCGTTGTCTTCCAGGCCTACTGATGTTACCTTAGGTTGTTTTTCATCGGTGTCCTAACATAACGGACATAGATAGGTCGCTTTCACATACTCCACAAGCTGACGCGGGCTTTCATGGGTTAAAAGGGAGGTTTGGCATTTCTCGGCTAAGCTTCTTTCCTAATTTCGGAAATCTCTCTGATTAGCCAACCAACAGCACGATAGGATGTGGTGAATTCATCAGTACTAGGAAACAACAACTGAAAAAGCATTTACAGTGCAAACATTCTATTTTTAGCCGAAATTCGACCGAGTAACAAGCCTAGTACTCTTTTCGACGACACGTTATGAAGAGGTCGCGATGACGTTCACCATGTCTCGTGGAAGACCGTAAGTAAAAGGAATTAGGACCACATGTTTATTTATTCACATTTATTAAGCTACGAGTACGAGGGCGGTGTGGGTTGGAAGGCGTATATGCGCAGTGGTCGGAGGCGCCTGGCCCACCAAGCCTTCCATCTCTCTGGGGTCGGTAAATCGGTGCCAAACTTGTCTGGGAGGATAGCAGCACTGGTTCGATACATCGATAGGCCATCGCGAGTCATTTTAAAGGCCAAATATGCATTCAATCACCTCAAAATGATGCTTAGTGAGGTCAAATCCATGGCGCATCGCTCAAGGATTAATCAACGCCAAGAGCTTTTAGAGATTTATGAGCACGAGATGTCTGATTTAAAAAAGGCAGTTTGAAATACTATTATATTTACTCAGGAGATTTATTTGGTTTACATTTTGTTCTGTCTGTTTGTCTATCATAAAGACGTGGTAATCTATTGACGACAAACTTTCTTCTGGAACACCATTGCTGAACATCAGAACAGCAGCAGTGACAACAAGTAAGGCGCAAGGCACATAATAGTTTATTTCCTACTGATCAATGAGGGTCGCAGATGTTCTATTCCATGGCTAATTTGCCCATTCCTCGACTATGAGTTACCATGGTAGCGCTGAGAGCAGTAGTAATATAATTTTAACTTATTATTTACTGCCTACTCTTTTTAACGGCAGGGTATATATTGCGAAATATAACTTTAATGACGCTGAGATATTTGCAAAACTCCGCAATATATACGCTGCCGTTAAAAAGAGTAGGCAGTAAATAATAAGTTAAAATTGTGATTGTAACTGCAGCCTCAGTTTTGCTGGGTTCGTTGCCGATTTGGGCTCCCCAGATCAATCCCGTTGACGGGTGATTGCTGATGGCAAAAGATCAATAGAACTAGCTGAGAGATAGGCAAAACGAAGAATCCATGGCGTGATAGTGAACACGTTACTCCTCGGAGAGGACAATAGCGCGTTCGTTCCCCACCGCAGACACCTGTGGTCCGGAGTTTTGCAAATATCTCAGCAACATTAAAGTAGTATTTATTTATGTGATCTTATAAACTGATCTTCTTAAGCTGACGCGAGGTTGGTACAGATCTTCGTTGTCGTTGTCGTTGTTTTTGATGTTATTGAACGATGGCTGACGTTTCGGCGACTTCGCCTTCCTCAGAGCCTGGACGTACTTTATGTTAGAATACTTTTTATTATTCGGTGGAAAAGAAGGTTAAAGTATTAATGAAGATCAAACTTTCAAATAGACGCCATATTGAACAGAAAGGTCACTCACCGTGTTGTTATGTGCGGAACTGGCCGACACGTAGTTTACGCGAGCAAGACACGCCCCGGGGTCAAAATATCATTTTAATATAGGGCGCCAGGTCACGCGTGATAGTGAGGCATTCGTCCTTTCGGTTCATCTTTGGATTTTTGAAATTTATCCAAAACGCCTCAAGAGTTTTGCGCGTTGATGTTTTTTTGTTTGATAGACGAGTGCTTCATCGTCTGTTCCACACAAGAACAGATGGATGAGTGCTTTGAATTATTAAACCGACAGTCAGAGTATATAAAATTTACACGAGAAAAACCTACCGAGAACTGGTTTCCATTCTTAAACATCCAAATAAAGCTCTCAGTAAGTGGCTATTTAACAAAACGGTATCGCAAGCCAAGTAGTAGAAACATTCTAGTCCACTGCCTCTCCTCTCATCCTTCACACATGAAAAAAGCACTTATCAAAAATATGTATCGTATGGCTAAAAATGTGTGCACAGGAGAAGAGAAAAGGAAGGAATCGCGAAACCTGGCACGAAAAATTGCCATTTCCAATGGCTACGAAGTAGAAGCCACTCGGGTTAGAGGAAAACACTGGGTAGTTTCCCAAAATAATATTTCAGACGAAAATAAGATTCCCTTTAAGCTGCCCTTCATATCAAATGAAGTAGGTCACGCCATTAAAAAGTGCTTAAGAAAAAGTGGTCTTGAAAATTATGTAACGATTGTTGACATCCCACCCAATACCCTACGCCGCCAGTTAGTTCGAAACCGTCTCTATGATCGTTTGTGCAGCTTAGAAAACTGTATGATCTGTCCTAACGGGAGAGACGGGGATTGCATGAGTTTAGGTATAATATACTTGATCTCATGTAATGCATGCGGCGAGGAATATATTGGGGAAACAGGTAGGCCACTTCGTGTCCGCATAAAAGAACATCTAGATGGGAAAGCTAAAATCCGTTTGAACACCCCTCTAGGGACGCATAGGGCACAAAAGCACAACGGCGATGATTTTGAAGTGAATGTGCGGATCCTAGCGCAGGAATCAAAAACATCAACGCGCAAAACTCTTGAGGCGTTTTGGATAAATTTCAAAAATCCAAAGATGAACCGGAAGGACGAATGCCTCACTATTACGCGTGACCTGGCGCCCTATTTCAAAATGATATTTTGACCCCGGGGGGTGTCTTGCTCGCGTAAACTACGTGTCGGCCAGTCCCGCACATAACATCACGGTGAGTGGCTTTTCTGTTCAATATGGCGTCTATTTGAAAGTTTGATCTTCATTAATACTTTAACCTTCTTTTCCACCGAATAATAAAAAGTATTCTAACATAAAGTACGTCCAGGCTCTGAGGAAGGCGAAGTCGCCGAAACGTCAGCCATCGTTCAAAAACATCAAAAACAACGACAACGACAACGACAACGAAGATCTGTACCAACCTCTCGTCAGCTTAAGAAGATCAGTTTATAAGATCGCATAAATAAATATATCAACTATTTATGCCGAGGTTCATAGAAAGTCGGTCTTTCGAGTTATTAAAGTAGTAATATAATTCAACACGCGGTAGAGCCAGGTTCGATTCCTCACCGACTCAGACTCCATCCATAAGGCTTTTTATTGCGATTGTCTAGGACCAACTCTCTGCTTTTATTGCACAAAGCTTGCTAACTGGCCGTGGTGAAGGTCTGCGAGCGCACTAGCACACGGCTACCCCGTGTTTCATGAGAGAATCGACTCAACCAGCATTCAACGACGTTCATAAAGAAGATCGAAATTTCTCAGAGAACAGGCGAGCCAACACGCAAAAGGTTTGAATTAATTCGTGGATGATGGATGAAGAGAAAGGAATCTAATGCAAGAAATGGTGGACTCCAAGACGGATCGTGTAAGAATAAACATCGCTAGAGAAATGATCTGAGTTCGAAAAATTCGGGATTGTGGTGAATGACTATATTTGACAAGCTGGACAAACTCGTCGTAATCATCACACGTAATTTTTTTCATGGTGTTTTTGCTTGCTTTATCCTTTTTCAGCTCTACGCAGTATATGGTTCACTTTCGTTTATAATTCACTCAATTCATTCTTCCCAATTCTTTACCAACCCATCGTAGCTTGGAGGTGTTCCTGGATGTTGAGCTGCGATGTACAGCGGGTGGATTCATCCCTCCTGCAGGGTCTCCCATGCTGAGAAGGAGTCCGGCGTTTCCATCAGGAAGGGCAGCTAAGAGTAAACCAATACCAGTACCCGTCACTGTCCAGGTACCAAACCAGTCGCATGGTGGCAAATCTCCCTCTGATCCACAAGGGCGGCGAATGCCTGTGGTGGTGACGATCTAGGAAAGACTTTGGCCTGGCTGATCTCGGAACTACTAAGGAACCACAATAACTAAAAACTATAAATAATCATAGGCATCTGTTTTGCATGAGCAGAACGGCAGTTTTGAGCCTACAACTCTTCTTGATGTCGGAGGTGCACTCCGTCGCTCCTGATGCCATCGCCAGCTAACGAACGCGTTGTGGTGACGGAGCTAGGAGAGGTCGCTGCTCAGGAGACTGACGACCGTCACCGCTTCAGATTTGCGACGCCGTCGTCGTCGTCTAATACGTCGTTCTCGCCGTTCATCAACACCAGAACAAAGACGAGATCGAAGTTGTTCACGTCAGCTGCCGAAATGATGGTTTTCTTCGAGCACTTTGACGCATCTGCGAAGGTATATTCGAATTGTCCATTTGAAATACCATAGATTTCCTTTAAAGACCAAAGAGTAGACGTAGAGTCTCTCATCACTTATTATTATTTAGCTATTGGAAGATTTCGAAGCAATGAAAATGTGAATTTAAATGATTTCAGATTCATTTATTGCGTGTCGAGATAAGAAATAGACTGATTTTGGCGCTGTTTTGTGGGAAACGAATTACTGCCTTCCAATATAAAGCAGCACATCTTAGTTTATAATAAAGTTGGCTAATTTAAAAAAAAACGGTTAGAAACTGCAGGTTCTTTCCAGGAAAATGGAAGTTTTCTCACCCTATCAAAACGACAATAAGGGCGCGTGTGGCGCAGTGATTGGAAGCGCCCTGCAACACACATGCGGAATCGATCCCCGTGCCACAGGTTTACCATGCCCTTTATCACTCCGGCGTCGGCATATTGGTCCCAGGTTTGTCTGAGAGGATAGCAGCAATGGCTCGATACATCGGTAGGCCACCGCTAGTCATTGTAAAGACCAGGTATGCATTCGATGACGCCCAGGCGATGCTTAATGAAGTCGAATGCATGGCGCATCCCTCAGGAATTGATCAACGCCGAGAGCTTCTTCTGATTATTAAGACGACATTCTAATTTTCTAGAACCCATCACAGACATGTCCCTGATATTTTGCGTGAGAGCTCGTGTTTCGAGCATGAATGTGGTTGGACAAGCAGGATTTCGTCAAACAGGACACGACGATCTTCCCCACAATCTCATTTGTGCTTCCAGTTGCCTCTGCTGTTTCACAAATGCGAATACCAGTTCCAGATAAATTCAAAGTCATGGGAATACTTTGTTGTTGTGTTCCCACATGGATCATGCAACAGTCAGCAATCTGTAGTCAACATATTGGACTTGAGGTGTTGCCATCGCCTACAGTCCCGAAAATTTTGGCATATTTCACGATTTTCGCTAAATTTTGATCACTTATGGATGAAGGGCTTGTTTTTCAGCTACGTTACCTTGTATCGGCATCGGGCTCCCTCCGAACTGTTGAGGCAGTTTCATCGGTGGCGGTGCGAATGGCTGTACAAAACAAGAATCCCGGTGAAGCGATTTCCGATCCTTCCGGTTATTATGACCCTCGCGATGGACGATTCTACTGCAGTCATAACGAGGTGTGTCAGTCATCACCAGTTAGTTGTTGGTATTGCAGTCCATGTCAATAAAAATAAAAGTGAAGCAGCAACGATTCTAGTTTAAAGCCATAGCTCCTTAGAAATGGAAAGCTCAACCAGTCGTCATCGATCTTCGTTAGTCTTTCACTCTACCAATGGTTTACAACCTCATTGTTTGCAGTAAATGTACTAAAGTGTCTAAATGCTATGCATAACAACAAATTCGTTACGGAAAAAAGATCATGTAGCTGTGAACAATTAGACACGTTGATCAAGACGCTCATCCAAGATTAAGTTCACACCACGATAGAACTCGAATAGATATCGCCATAAATGGGGAAAAAATAGAAGACACCGGACCAAAAGCACTGTGCTTCTCGTTATTCAAACAAGTGTAGCTATCGCAGGTGGGGGAAATTTGGTTCAATTCCAGCCTGTCTGTCGAAGACTTAACGAGCCTACAGATGACACATGAGGACGTTTTGACAGATTTCACGTTTTATGACGTAAATGTTTTACAGGTGGCAGTACTAAAAGCGCTGCACAAGGATTATGGTATACCATGTAACCCGATACCGTCCGATGATCCGGAAGCCACTGACCGATTTGTATCCGTTGTGCAAGTGACGGAAGACAAATATGAACGAATATTAGCAGCTGTGTCACAGAGAGAAGGCGAACTCAACTATGGTGTTGGTTTCTAGGTGATGCTGACACGAGTATTCACTGTGATACAAAAATGCAACCACGTCTATGCTTGTGACCTTATTAGGTTTCTTGTCTTTTTGGCTTTTTTTAATGAATTCGTCTAACTCATCTCAACTTTTAGCAGGCCTTTTGTACACTTTAAGCATCCCAATGAAAGTTGAAAAATGAATGTGAAGCCGAACAGAACTGGCTAATATTTCGTTAAACTTCCTAATATTTACTGTATTTCGTATGAAATGCTGAGATATTTGCAAAACTCCGGACCGCAGGTGTATGCAGTAGGGAACGAACACGCGCTGTTGTCCTTACCGGAGAGCAGCGCACTTCACCACCACACCATCTGGGTGGTCCACACCACCGTCTTGCCTTTCTCTCAGCTAGTTCTATCGATCTTTTTGCCATCAGCCATCACCTATCAAAGCCATGGCTTGTTCCCCACTGCATATACCTGCGGTCCGGAGTTTTGCAAATATCTCAGGATTTCATACGAGTTATATTTCGCAACATACCCTGCCATTAAGAAGAAAAAGGCAGTAAATAAAAGGGTTAAGATTTACTGTAGTGTTCTCCAGACCTGCTTCACAGCTTCTATGTGCCGCACACACTGCGAGAAAAAGCTGACTACTGACAATGTTCTACTACAGATTAGCGGCTGACAATCCGTAAGAACCAAACATTTCTCACACTATTGATCAATTTAGTGACGTAGCAACAAAGTTTAGAAAGAATTAAGACAATGTTGCGTGAGGTTACGTCACGGCTTCGTCGTTCTTGCTAGCACCTAACCTCTATCGAAAGAGCTGATAGTCTGTGAAGGGTTGGTGTTCGCCGCATAGAGCACATGGTTATTCCAACCTTAGTGCAGCATAGAACGTTAAGGCGATTTGGTAGAACTTCTTCTTTTGGAAGTATCCACTACTAAAAACTAATCGCCCTTAGAGGATTACATTCTTCATGAGAACAGTGGAGTTAAAAGAATTATCATTGAGGAGCGCGAGATCACTTGTTACGAATATCACTCCCACCCACGATTGCGTCGAAAATTTTCTATCCTCAAACCATATTCGTTACTAATCTCTGAGGGATGTGCCATGCACTCGACTTCATTAAGCATCGTTTGGAGGTGATTGAATGCATATCTGACCTTTACAATGACTCGCAGCAGCCTACCGATGTATCGAGCCAGTGCTTCTATCCTCCTAGACAAATCTGGTACCAATTTGCTGACCCTGGAGGGATGGAAAGCACGGTGAGCCATCAGCACGGGATCGGCTCCACATGTGTGTTGCAGAGCGCGTCCGACCATTGCACCACACAAGCCCCACAGGACAAAAGTAGTGTTAAATCGATGTAGGACAGGCAAACGTGATAACCGCGCCACGATCAGTTGGAAAAGCTGAAAAATGAAACCATTTAATTCAAGAGGTAATTTGTTTTAATACGAACAAGAAAACGAAGGCGAAAGAGGAGATTTGTAGGAAAGATCAATGCGATGGAAACGAATTAATTTGAACTAGGAGCTGAAAACGAAATCTCTTAAAAAACTGAAAGCGCGTGTGTGTGCGTGTGTGTCAGCCCAGGCACTTTCTTCATCGTATCGTCGTTCGCTTCTTCTTCAGCCCGGTTGTCAGTTTAAGTTTGCAGTGCAATGCTGTTCGTCCGAATAGAGAAGTTCAGGATTGGTTTAGTCAAAAGATGAGGCTCTTGACGACTTGTTCTGTTCGGCTGCTGTAATGTCAGCTCACGCACTCTTCTGTTTTCTTGTCTTTTTATTTTCAGTTTAGAGAACTCTTTGTTCAAACAGGGCTAAAAAACACTGATCGTTTAAGCACTTCGATTAATGTTATAATTGCGTCCATTTCTAAAAACATGGTCTGAAAGACAAAGTCGCGCTTGAATTTCGCGGTACTGTTTTTTGAGGGTTGACGTGTGCCGTCGTTGTGTGCATGACGCTTGCAACGGCCTTTTGCAAAAACGGGTCCGCTGCAGAGATCGAACGCGCTCGCTCGAGCACTATGCTCATTCGCACTGGCTGGCATCGACAGCGCAGTGACGTCGACAATTCGTTGGTGCTTCTCAGATCAGATATGCTGGGTTGTCCCACAGCATGGATAACAACTCGCCTTCTCTTCCAAACTGTCTGCTACGTCCCATTTCTATCATCTGGTAATTTCTAAAAATGAGAAAAGCATGCAAAGTAGACCGAAGTGCTAGCAATAATTCACCATTAAAAACGGAAACACTTTTTGTGGGAAGACGAAGGGAGATGAAAAACTCGTTTCCCAATTTTTCTGACCATGACATTATCTTGGTTGATGATGTAATAGGTCTCATCAGTATCCGGCCCTGTGTGCTTTCCTTAAAACTTCCCTCATACTATATGACCAGCCTAAAAGTGGTGATCGGTGCCTTGATAATAAATAGAAGGTCCCAAAATGAGACGCAACCTCCTTTTTGTACGTAAACATTCAAAACGTAGCCTAGTTTACGATGAGAAGCGATAGAGATCTGTGTGTGGTTCGGTGTGTCTATTCTTCTCCGAGGCCGACATCCTTAGTTTGCTTTTGTTGGGGAAGGGAGGGAGATGGTTTTCAAAGATGTCCCATTATGGAGACGTTATGATTTCAAACTCTGCAAAGTGGCTTGTTTTCGAATTAGTCGCTTTTTTCTCAGAACTTAAGCTTCCTTCATTGCTATCCGTAACGCGCGACTGTCCACTCATTGAATGATCATTGTTCGAGTCAGTCCACAGTGACTCAACAACAGTCCTGTCGCCGGCTCATTTGGCGTCCTGTCAACAATAAATTTCTCTGCTTCTTACAACTAACAGTTGTGGTACCACTTTTTATTTTTATTAAATGACCCGATATCACACGGATCACACTGTGCGGACCCTAGCACATCGTTCACTCGATTTATTTCCTCGCATTCACCATCCACAAGCTCTGCGAACACTTATGTCTAGGCTCAACTGCTTTTTGAGGATTTTTGTTACTGTTTTTACCATTGACTTTGAGTGTTGGTCGAGTCGCTTCTTTCTGTAATCCCGAGATTGCCGTTCAACCACCTTCGCACGTGGATTCGAGGAAGTCGCCATCTGCACGACAAGTCTGACACCAAGTCTCCAACTTCTAGCCGATGGCCAGAGCCCTTTTGAGGCTGGGCAGGGTCGGCTCAGTCTCTGTGTGTGTCTGGCCATCCGTGTAAAGAATGAGATCACTACCGCTACGCTATCTGTTTCTGTGTTAGTGAACACTAGTGAGTGAGGAACACTATTAACATGTTGAACATTTCCATCTTCGTGTATTTCAAAATTCAAAAATTGCCATCGAACCTTTAAAAATTTCCTTCTATTTTGCACTTTATGTTTTCTCGCATTCGTCATTCAAGAACGTCTTCCAATTTGTGGGTTCGGCTGCTGGCTGAGCATTTTAGTCTTATTTGTGAGTGTCATTGAATGCTAGTCAAAACAATTTTCTCCGGAGGCCAGAGATAATCTTGCTAGGACATGCCCATATCGTCATCACAAGCAGCGCCTCTTTTATTGTGCATTGTAGGAAATTAAATGATGCTACGCGAATCTGTTACCAAACCTCGCTTGTCTTTGAGGAAAGGCAAGCCCGATGATCTCGTGGCGGGGTCGAACCAGCGCCTTGGAAACGGCATCATTTCAGTATGCTACCCTCCACTAACCCTTCTATACAGAAATCCCGATGTAAGAAACATATTTCTTGCCGTCATCTGTATCTTGTGAAACGGCCTTTTTTGATGTGAAGGTTCTGCCTTGAAGAGTTTATCCAAAGTAACAAAATCACGAACACGTCTGGTAAATCGAATTCAGCTTCACGATTTTCTTCAACTTCTTTGCTACTTTCAATTATTGAAGTGCGAGTATTTCCCTCTACCACGAACCAATTATTTTATTGGAATATTGCAATTTTGTTCTTTTTTCAACTCCACTCTACCGTTGGCTGATGGCGAATTCATGCGGTCATCTTTGCGAAAGGCTTCTCAGCGTCACCTTCACTATCAGTAATTTTCCTTGCTCATCTCTGCATGGGATACGTCAACTATTATTCCCCGAAAATCCACAGGAATTTTAAAATGTTTGGAAACTACGTGGGCGAAGTCTTCCCTATTCATTTTTCTTATTTTTTATATTTTTAAATTTTCTATTTGATCCGTGTTCGCGTCTACTGAGTGGATCCCAGCACTTCTCACATTCGATTCGTTTCTTTGTATCCATTGTCCACGAAAACCTCCTAACTTTTACGTGTGGAACATCTCTTAATAACTCAAAAGACCGACTTCCTATAAGATACTCGGCATAGATAGTTGATATATTTATCTATATGATATTATAAATTGATCTTCTTAAGCTGATGCGAGGTTGGCATAGGTCTTTGTTGTCGTTGTCGCTGTTTTGATGTTGTTGGTCGATGGCTGACGTTTCGGCGACTTCGCCTTCCTCAGAGCCTGGACGTATTTTATATTAGAATACTTTAATTATTCGGTGGAAAAAAGGCCAAAGTATTAATGAAGATCAAACTTTTAAACAAATGGTGGGTTAGGATACTACTGTCAAATGTAGTTCTACACCATATTGAACAGAAGGGTACTCACCGTGATGTTACGAGTGGGCCCCTTTTAAGCTATCAAATGAAGTAAGTTACGCCATTAAGAGATGCTTAAGAAAAAGTGGTCTTTAAAATTGTGTAACGATTCGTATATAATGCTGAGATATTTGCAAAACTCCGGACCGCAGGTGTATGCGGTGGCGAGCGAACGCGCTATTGTCCTTTCCGGGGAGTAACGCACTTCACCACCACACCATCCGGGTCCTTCGTTTTGCCTGTCTCTCAGCTAGTTCTATTGATCTTTTGCCATCAGCAATCACCCGTCAACGGGAAAATTTCAAAAATCCAAAGATGTAACGATTGTTGACATCCCACCCAATACCCTACGCCGTTAGTTAGTTCGCAACCGTTTCCAATAT